ATACATTTGTTGTCTGTGCATCAGATAATCTGATTGTTAGTTCTGTTTTTCACTCATCGTGCATTTCTGTTGTTCAGCATATATCAGACAACTTGCCCTAAGCAATGTGCACTGAGATGTTGTATAGGCTTATGAATTTGCTATACATAGAGAACAATGGTGGATCTGATGACATTTTTGCAATTTTGTTGCCTTCCAGCATCATACTTTTTTTTCTCCTTTTTTAAATTTTTTTTAGAACCCTCAGGCTTACAGAAAACAGGTCCCCATCCTGTATATGAAGAATTGTAGCAATAACTGTATAAAGATATGGATACAGTTGTACACTTGTAGACAATTTACGAATTTATACAGTTGTAAAGTTACATTATAATTGTATATTTAGGACCAGTTTATTGAAATTTGCTCGTACATGTTGGCTTGGCTGTAGACTTTGGCTTGCTATGTGACCTCTTCAGTCTTTGACATCCAAGCAAGTATCAGCTGTGTACAGGTAGACAACCAAAGAAGGAAGACTTTGGGGTGAAAACAGGTTGTCTGAGGTTCTAATTGTTCCTCTGGCAGAGATTTTTCAGCTTGTTGATAAGTCTCTGAGCAATTTTGCCAACCCTTCCTGGAGAATGGAAGCAGTAAACTATGCATATGGTACTCCAGCCCATCAGGCAAGTCATGCTAGTAACAGTAATGGGTCCTGATGTAGTTCCGTTAACCCTTGCCTAGTATACAGCCATTCTTCAATGTAAAAATGCATGAATCACTTTCCTCTTTCAAGGCCCATTCACACCATATGAATTGGGCAGCACTGGGCGATCGTGCCCAACCTGACCCAGCACATAAACAAGTCAATTTCCCTTTAGTCTTATGAGTTTAGTCCACGCACTGCTCTGTAGTGGTGTGCACTGATAAAAAGTAGGACATGCTGCATTTTTACACAAAGCAGCATGTTGCATTGGAGGGGCATAAAGATGAATGCAGTGTATTTTTCTAACAATTTATAGAAATTAAAAAAAAAAAAAATTTAAATAGTACAGTGCGCCACTACAATGCATCAGCCCTGCTCCCATCACAGCGCACACCAGCAGCTGAATTTACCATCTTCAAATTCAACACCAACAGTGTTGAGTTTGAAGATGGAAAATAGAAGGCTGCTACAAGTCTTTGGTTAAAGTTAGATTTCCTTTATATAAGCATGGACTAGAAGATCTGTATTGATGACATGGTGCACAGAACAGCATTTTGCAGTCCTCAAGGCCACCAATGACAAATCGCCTTTTAGCAGTCTGAGAACGCTGGATGGTGAAGAGATGAGTTCTGATTGGTTGTCTTGATTCACAGCCATCTTTGCACTATGAGAAACTAAAATTCTCCTTCAAAGTGGAACTTTAGTCAGAAAATTAAGTCCTCCTAGATCACATGCTGGCCCCTTCTGCGGGTATAGCTATGTAAAACATTAAAATTATATGCCTATACTGTGTAAAATCTAGTAATATTCTGTTTAACTCTGCTCTGCACATGCCCAGTTGCTCTCTATTTGTAGGCACTGTGCTGAAAATGTAGAGACCGATCTGCTGACAGACTAAAGATTTACTGCTGCTCAGGGGCTCTGGGCTTCATCAAAATGGCGGCATCCAGCAAGAACAAACAGGGACAATGCTGTAGGCAATTTACATCATACACTAATTTTGGTAGCATAATTATTAATGTGGAATCTGCATTACTTGCTAAAGAATATAATTTTTTGTTAAGTTGTTATGGGTAAAGTTCTACTTTAATATGCAGTAGGGTTGGCTTACTAAAGGAAAAAGGATATTCACTTTGCAAATGCAGTTGCACTCCACAAGGGAATTTGCCCAAGAGGTTAGTGAGGGAGGTGAAGCCCTGTTGACTTCCATCATCCAATCATGTGCAAGAAGAAATGCTGCTTTTTTTTTTTTTTTGCACATGATTGTGTAATATTTCACCACATTCACTAAGCTCTAGGAAAAACTCCCTTGCAGAGTGCAACTTCCTTTGCAAAGTGAACAGACTATTTGCCTTTAGTAAATCAACTCCAGTATGTATTAGTTGCACCTTTGCCCCTTTTTCTTTTAGCTTGCTGTCTGATTCACAAGCTCTGCACCGTGTATTCATGTTGAACACAGACCATAATTTAGGGGGTAAATTAAAAAAAAAAAAAAAAAAAAAATCCCAGAGCTACATTTATAGGTAGACTTCCGCTGTTTGTTTAAATAAAACAGCAACGAAAAAGGCAGAACAGACCTCAAGGAAAAGTAAACTTGTATTGTGATCTAATGATTCCGGCATTAACCCAGATGAGTGATCTAGGCTGGTAAAGTGTATTTATTGAATGCCTTGTTATATTTTGAAAGCAATGCAGAACGGAATAGAGCGAATTAATGGGATTACACCTCTCCGCTTCTGATGACGGAGCTCTCGGAGGATTTGCCACAGTGCCAGTTGGTTGATACTCTTGAATCAAACGGCTTCGCACAGTGTAGTAACATCACATCAGGGACTTTGCATTGAAACACCGCCAATGGTAGAAGGAGCTGGGTGTCCAGAATTTCTTTCTATTTTTTTTTTTTTTCCTTTTGCGGGCATCTTAGGCTGCAGTGCCATTGTGACTTAATCGTAACCCCTTTCCATTACAAGGAAAATGAAAATCCTTTTGTAACCCACACACTCGCAGGGGGGTTTGGTGGGGGAGAGGGGGGAAAAAAAAGTGGATTTATGCAACAATGCGAGGAATATGTCGTTACTATGTATCTGACCTTCAAGAACCATTTTAAGTTAATCAAAATTAGTGATGCTGAGAAATAAGGACATCAGTGCATAATGACTGTGAAATTAGGAGAGAGCTCACTATGCAAATGACGGAAGAATGTGAGTGAAAAAAGGCAAGATAAACTGCATATTAAGGCATTATGTTACATAAAATTAATGCAGCATCGCTGGCTTTTGCTTACAGCTTATTGGAAAGCTTTTTATGTGATTTTTTTTTTTCTCCCCCTTTTTATTTAGTTTTAAATGATGCCATTGGATTCATATCTTTATTTATTGTTTCCTATATTGGAAACTATTAAAATCCTTAAAAATATGTCTATATGTGTTAAATAGAATTTGCGTTCTAAAACCTGGTTGTGGTGTACAGCGAATTTACACTTTCCTACTTTCTCTATCTAGTAATACTGTATACATCTGTATCGCTCTATCTAGGTGGCTACCTATGATATACACAGCGCTTTATCTCACTATCTCATCTGTGTACATAAAACTGTTCTTACACCTCTGTATTCCTTTATAACAATATATTGTATATATGGCCCACGCTTTCACTCTTTCTCTAGCCAGATGTGGGGGGTCGCTCCTCAAAATTTTTGGTCCTTATAATATTCCTTGGTGTTCAGTAGTATTTATTCATCTCTACTGTAAAATATTCTTTTCTGCATTAAAGATCTCGTTCTCGTCAACATTTAAAATGTCTAATCACCTTTTGAATTAATACTGACTTGAATACTGCATGAAGTTACCCCAGCATTAAAAATAAGTAGTTGCATAGCATTGTAATGAATGCGAATAAGCCAGTTAGATGAAACTGCTCCCCATATTGACAGTAGTGTACGTGATGAACAACTGCGTTAGCATGATGGTGATGAATAGTGTTCATGGAGACTATAGTACATCATCATAATGCTATATAGAGCGTGTGCACACTTGGGTACGTATATAAAATTAAGAGGGAAAACGAAATACAAAAAACATATGTAAAATAAACTTCTTTACTTGGTGTCCTAAAGTTACAAGTTACGTTGGGGCACAGTTGCTTGATAAGGATGGGCTGTGTCTCACCAAAATGTTGGACATGGTAGTTGACCTTTTGCTCCTCTCCAAGTGTGTGTGTGTGTGTGTGTGTGTGTATATATATATATATATATATATATATATATATATATATATATATATATATATATTACATTATATGGCACTCCGGGCTTGCTTCAGCCCTTCCGCAATCCTTTTACATCCTAATATATATATATATATATATATATTTTGTAATCGAGTATGAACTGAAGCATGCCCAAAGCACCTCATGTATATACACCTCATGCTATTCAGCTGACTTGAGAATAAGCAAGTATGACTGAAGTTATCAATACATTTGGAGAGCTGTCTACATAAAGGGAATGGTTTGACTGAGTCCCCGTTTGCTAGCACCAGATTGATTGTGAGCGTTGCCCACCAGCAGAAACATATATATAGGTATATGTACACACCAAAGACACTATTAACCTAACACATTTAAAAACTACGGGGTGTACAGTTACTATTTGTTCTTATCGAAAGCTATTATTTTTACGTCTCAAATTCCCCAAGAAAAAAAAAAAAGAAGTCTCCTGCGCACTTGCAAATTAAACACAAGTGCCGTGATTATTTTGAATAGGTAAATTACATTCTTGGAGGCTTGCAGGATTGGTGGCATTGTCATTAGCTAGCCGCTGCAATACAATTTGTGTAACCTTGTCCAAGACAGCCTGTCATTTTAATGTCAGTGTTTTTATCTGACGAAGACATCATCCCTTTCAAATAAGCTGTATAGGTTCCTTAAACAGAAACGTGCGCACGGGGCTGAGAATGTGTTAACAGTTGCAAATATGAAATGCTATCGGGTTCATCGCCGTCGCTGTTTGTCACTGAAATGTCACGGAAAAAAACGCTTTAATGGTATCTCACATAATATGGAGGAATTGAAAACATCTGTACGTTTGGTTGAGCTGAGGAGGGGGAGCGCACGGCGGCTGTGCAGACAATGTGATGTATGCAGGTTTTTTTTTTTTTCTTTTTTTTAGGTAGCAGTTGTAGGTCGCTGTGGTGAGATCTGAGATGGAATTTGCATGACGTCCTGTCTGCTTTAGCAGGGACTTGCAATGGGTTATAGAGGAGTCTTAAAGCTATTTTTTTTTTGTTTGTGTTTTTTTCAGGTTCCTGTCTCAGTGGCTATGATGACACCCCAAGTAATCACTCCTCAACAAATGCAACAAATTCTCCAGCAGCAAGTGCTAACGCCCCAACAGCTACAAGTCTTACTTCAGCAACAACAAGCCCTCATGCTCCAGCAGGTAAAGTTTTCTGACCACGTGGTAACAACAATAGTAACTTACCAGTTCACAATTCTAAGTAAAACAGCTTTAATTGATATTGCCCCCCTCCCCAAAAATGCACTGAGGCTTCACATACACTTTTACATATGTGTCCTGCTTAAACTCTTGGTTATATCCTACTTAGATTGTACGCCCCTTGAGGGTTAGGGACTGATGTGAATGTACAATACATGTATGTAAAGCGCTGCGTAAATTGACAGGGCTATATAAGTACCTGAAATAAATATATAATCTTGAAAAGTATGTAAACCCCAAATCAGTTTTAGGGTGCCCCATTGTATACACTCTTCTTAAGCAATTTTTTTTTGTGACTCTATTGCAAAGTTTTTTTTTTTTTATCTGGAGGTTCTACCGGTAGCCGCACTTCCTGTGGTAGACTATCAACCCTAAAGCTGGCCATTATTTGAATTTCAGCCAATTACTGCTGAATCAAACATCAAAGTAATAAATTGAAGGAACTGGGTGAAAATTTGTCAGCCAAACAATAAGCAGATGGGTATTCAAGCAACTGTAGGTGTCATGGCTGCTTGAAAATGATCAGCAGCAGTGATGCTTCCTCGATCCACATAGAACGGGGAAGAATGTATGTGTGTATGGATAGTCTTAGCCGCTCCTTCACGATTAGCAGCAGCGTTGTCACCCTACTATGTGTACTTCTTCAGGTGACCCTTTGGCTGCCTATCATATCTTTTGAAAAGCAGCCCCAGAAGCTAACTTGTTGGAGATCATATGGCAGACTGACAACGCTGCTGCTAATTGTGAAGGAGTGGCTTAGGGTTGTCAGTCTACAACAGGAAGTGCTGCTATTGGCAGGATCTCCAGTTAAGAAATAGATTCCCCCCCAAAAAAAAACTTTCTTCACAAGTAGTTATAAGGTGAGGCATGATTCCAAACATATGCTGAAAAAAATGTAATATAAAGTCTGATTCTGGTGTGATTAGAGTTTAGCATTAAATACAAAACTTTTTAAAAAACATTTTTTAGACTCTTGCCTGCACTGGTATTTGTGTTAAGGGTGATATGAGTAGGTCATATTACCTAAGGCAACCATAAAATGGGGTGTAAATATAAATGAATATTGTGCCATAGATGTGTTACTGGAAGGAAATGTGAAAAGAAGAGCTTTGTACAAGAAGACCAGTCAGGATAACATTTATCAATAAATTCATATAGTATGAAAGTTTAATTGAATGCTTTAGATGTACCTTTGGTGATGGTTCAAAATCAGTTTTTTGTGGATTTTTGCTACCAGAGCACTGAGTGAAGGTGAGAGGGCAAACAGCTGGATTGAACTGTGGTGACTGGCAGGTGTGTTTGAACATTATGATTTGATGATGTAGATATGATTCTATTGATAAAGGATTTGAACGACAGTTCGTTCCAACTAGGAAAACAACAAGTCAAGGAACGAGTCAAATTATTTTTGCATTAACTGGCAGTAAAAGTAAAGGCTTAAAAAAGATAAGCACCAGCTTTAATCTTTTTTTAGATATTGGCTTCCTGGCTTCAGTGATCTTGCCCAACATTTTTGTATGCACCCATTAGCCCTGATACCTTTAGTCCTCTAGACTGGAATATGGGATCCATAATGTGAGAATTACGTTTGTCATGATGCAAGGGAACAATATTACATGGCATCTATTGTAGATATGAACAATCCTTTTGCATTCAAAAGAAGAGTGTGCCTATTGCTAAAAGATCACAATTTCTTTCTAGTTGCATTCAACTTATTTGCTTTGACATGCAGATTTCATGGTTCAACTTTAAGGTCTTATGCACACAGGATTTCAAGAATGTAACTTTTAAGGGCATTTGATGTTATATTTTCTGCCTCTAAATGCCCCTCTGTGTTAGCCTATGCGTCCTCGCACACATAAGCATTTACAAGCAGAAAAAAAATCTTAGAGCCAGCATGTTCAGGAGAGGAGCATTTTGCCGCAGAAAAACAGCCAACGGGCCTAAATGTGTGCAAATGCATCTAAGGAGGCAGCATTCATTCATTCCAATGGCCAGAATAATTTAATGTTCTGACCAATGAAATGAATGAATGCCCAGTGCTTTACACGACTAAATGCGCCTGCACCAGCCAACCACTTTAAGGCCTCATGAACATAGAACTTTATTTTTCCTACCCTAGATGTCTATGTCCCAGGGGAATAAGAAAAAACTTCCTGTGTGCATGAGGCCCTAAAGTGCTTGATATATGATAACTTCATCTATTATCAAAATACTTTTAATCCCTTATGATGCTGCTGTAATCAGGGAATGCCAAGAGGAAAAGATAGATGAAGGAATAATAAGGCCCTAGGCAAGGTAGCATCTTTGGCTCTCCATCCCTTTGATTGACATTCATAAAGATTATACACTGTCACAAGGAAGCCTCCATTTAATTGTTTGTCTTGGCATGGTCCCTTCCAGACACCAACTACCTATAATTGCATCCACCCTTGTGAAGTGACCTGCAGGTAAACAACTTTAACCAGTTGCCCTGTCCCTCTGGCTTACTCCAGGAACATAAACATTGAATCTGGGTTTCCTGAACATCCACTGGGTCCTGAGTTACTGTATCGGTTGCCTTGTGGATGATCTGGCACTTAGCAGTCAGCAAGAGAGGCACAAGGTAACCAGAGGCCAAAGAAACTTGCCTCATGGTCTTCAAATGTGAGGCCTTAGACTGCTTAAAATCTTGCTTTGTGGTCCCCAGCTGTGAGATTTTAGCCTGTTCAGAAAGTTACCGCATAGTCTTAAGCTGTGGGGGTTTAGACTGTTCCCAAATCCAATCTCTATCAAAAGCTTGTAGGCTTCACCTTTGTAATATCTCTAACATTTTAACTAATGAAACCATCAAGCTATTAATTCACTCCGTTGTTATCTGTCGTCTTGACTATTGCAACTCACTTCTCATAAGCTTACCTCTACTTAGGCTATCCCTCTTCATTCTATCATGAATGCTGCTGCCAGACTCATATACCTTACTAACCACTTAGTGCCTGCCGCCCTTCTCTGCTAATCCCTCCACTGGCTTCTGATAGCCCAGTAAATAAATTCAAAATACTAACAACAACATACAAAGCCATTCCTAACTCTGTCCCAAGCTAAATCACCAATCTTGTCTCCAAATATCACCCAACCTGTCCTTTCCACTCTTCTCAAGTTCTCCTGCTCTCTAGCTCTCTTGTCTCCTCTTCCCATGTCTTGACCTCAGTGGAGTTTCTAGTAAATACTTCAATACTGCACCTAATGTAATTTTCTGTTTCTGAGTATAGTAAACCTTTAAACCATTGAGTCTTTCAGACCTGGGAACGTTCTTCCTGAAATTCTCAACTTTTGCTCCAAAGTATACCACCAACCTGCCCACTCAGCATCCTACAATGAAAAAGGACATCTCTCTCTCTGGGCTGTAGAAGTATCCTGCAAAGTATTTGGGGTTTTTGGGTGTATCACAACAGGCAAGCTAAGAATTCTGAGTCAAAGCAAAGTTGTCAACTTTTGGAAGTGTGTTCTTGGGTGGTTTCCTAAAGTGTTAAACACACATTATTATTATTATACAGTATTTATAAAGCGCCAATAGTTCACTCAGCGCTGTACATCACAAAGGCGGATAGAACATGTGACAGAACAATACCAATACAATGCAAAACATGAGGGGATTGAGGGCCCTGCTCTTTCGAGCACTTCACTGGTTTATTTTAATCCAACACTGAGTTATATCTGCATCCACTTACTGTACTTCTCTATAGGCCTCATTTATCAAAATGGTCTAAGGAAGAGTTAATGTTACTTCCATTCAGCCATCAATAAGCTTAGTAATACATGGAAAGTCTGAATAGTGGCTGTGAAGAAATAACTATTCAGAACTTCATGTGCAAAGTATACACCGGCAGTTTTAACCATGCACTGGCATTGTTCACCTCCTGGGACCAGATCATTTGTGTAGTATGAATGCTGTGAACTGTGACTGGGATCGGTTAAGTGTACCATGCCTGGGACCACTTGGAAGAAGTGGTCCCGGGCATGGTTTACTTGTGGTTGGGTACAGTTCACTACACTGTGAGCACAAACCATGCCTGAGCACATAATTCTCCATAGATCACTGAGCACAGAAGCGGAATCACTGGGGTCTGGTCAGCAGAGGTGATGATGTAAATGTGCCTAGAAACACTTGCTTATAGTCCAATGTGAGTGCAGATCAGCAGGGGATTGGGAAGGGGGGGGGGGGACGATCGAACTCAGGCACAGTTCATTTAAACCTTTTATACTAGCAAACGTGTGTCTGTTGTTTGATATGACATTTAAAATTTTCTACAAAATAATTTGTGTTGATATGGAAGTGTAGCATACAGTGTTCAGCAGCAGAGAATGTAAATGTAGCACAGCATGCAGAAGCATAGGGTGTTAGTGTATGCCACAGATGATGCAGTTTACAAAACACAAGAAACAATAAAATGCAAGCTAAAGTAAATAATACAAAGCAAAGTAGTCTGCAGTGTGTAACATACAAAATGGTGTACATGTGCAGCAGCCTTTAGTATATAGTGGGCAACACGATGTGCAAAGTGCAGTGGTTCAAATTATGTAATGTGCAGTACAGGATGCAATGTGTGTGTGTATATGTATGTATGTATATATATATATATATATATATATATCTGTCTTTTTATTGAACATCTGTTACTATTTCTAGTCCACCCACTGTTCTGTAATGAAATTGAAGGGATTAGGGTCCTTACAGTAGCCAGAAGTAAATAGACTCAAAGCCCATCATTGTAAATGGATGCATGTGTTTTACAAGCTGGATTTACCATGCTCCTCCACAAGGGCACAGCGTCTTTGTTGTAACAAACAAAGGTCATCCCTCGCCTTCTTTTAATTAGGCTGCTCAGAAGGAAAGGAGGAAAAAAAAAACCACAAGGCATGTTTTCTATCAGTACATTTTGGAAATTACTTTTCGAACTGCATCGCCAAGAATCGTCTGAGCAGGCTGGATTTATTGTCAGATTTCTAAGGAAAGGTCAGAGCATCGCAGATAAAAGAATGTGATATTTCAAATCACTTTTTGTGTCTCACACGTATATTCACACACAGAAAAAGAAGTTCCAGGACTGTCACTTAATATGCTGTAACTGACACTATTATACCTCTTTCTCACAGCAGCAGCTTCAGGAGTTTTACAAGAAACAACAGGAACAGCTGCAGCTTCAGCTCTTACAACAACAACATGCAGGAAAACAGCCAAAAGAGGTAAAAAACAAAGTTTTGCTTGTATCATACAGGGTCAGTCTGCCATAGCATTGTAAATAGAGGCTGATGGGACTGAATTTCCCATTGGCTTATCAGGCTCTAAAACTGCTACGCCAGTCTGCTGCCCTGGTGTCTCATACCCCATGTTTCAGTGAAAATGATACCCTCATTCCCTCATTATGGCAGCAGTTAGTAAATATGGGAGCCATGGTGCAAAAATCCCAAAGATAGATTAACAGAGATGTGTCTCTGGATAACTGAGCTCACCTTCTTCTACACCAATATTGGTTTGAGTTGAAGTGACCCTTTATCAACACTCCCCCATCTCTGTAATGGCTGAATGGTCTAATACAGTCAATTTCAGTTGAATATATCCTTGTATTATTATATTATATTCTCTTGCAAATGTCTCAGTTTTTGTAGAAGTGTTTTGATTGTCATATCCTTGTAAAACACGATGTAGAATAGTGAACTTTGGTTACATTCAGGTAGGGCTTAAAGTGAACCTGTGCTTTGCCCGTGTTGGCCGTCACAGCTGCTTGTGCTTAAAGTGACCTTGCCACCACCACAAAAAGAACACAAAGCTCAGCCTGTTATAAAACAGTCATTTTTCACCTGTGCTGCTGCCTTCGCTACCAATGTTTCTTCTGTTGTAGAGCTAGCACTGCCTGAAGAATATTTTGCATCCAGTTACTCTGGGAGTGTCGGATGTCTGATCCCCTGCTGCACTCTGTGGTTCCTTCCACTGATTCCTACATCACATCAGGATACCATAGAGATGTATGGGCCAACGGGAGAAACCACAGAGCACAGCAGTAGAGAGTGAGATTTGCAGCAAAAGCAGCAGCACAGGTGAGTATTAACTGTGTTCTTTTTCCGGCTGAGCTTTAGTTTCTTTCAACAGAGTCCATTACTGCTCCAGTCATCCCTGTGTGTGAAGAGAGAAAGTCCTGTGAAAGAACAGAGCAGCAGCGTAGCAAAGGTTAGGAAAGTATAGCCTCTAGGGGCCAGCATTTAACACAGCTGTAGCTTTGCCTTGCATGGCACTTTAAAAACTTTGATTTTGAAATTAAAGCTGAACTCTAGGCTTCTGTAAACAAACAAAAAAAAAAGAAATTGAAAAGGAATCCGGCCATAGTATCAACAATATGTAGCAACTCATTATTCAAAGTGTAGTTTAGTTCATTGACTTCCTTAAATTTTTAATCCATATGATGCAGTGCAGAAGCTCCAAAATAAAAATAAATTCCATGTTTTGCAAGTATGTTTAAAGAAGTCAAGAAGTTTCTGCATGTGATGTCACTGACTATTCATGGACTTTCTCCCCCAGCTGCTAAGTAATGCTATGCGTGTCCATTGAGTAAAGGAACGGCCATGAAGAAGTAACAGTAATGCCTACATAATGTGTAATTTCCCAATTTTCTTGTGTCAGTCCATGGGTAAATGTTTTCATGGCAAGACAAAGTACACAGCAATTGACTTTGCCCACCAGCAGCGCAGGATGTGTGACCGAGTTGAGTTGATGTACACATGCAGCCATAGGGAGGTGTGTAGGCCAGAGTGAAAAAGGCTTAGACAAAATAAGAGACAACCTAGTCCACCAGCTGTCAGGGTAAAGTACAATGTTTCTAGCACTGTGTTTTTTTTTTTCTTTCTTAAAGAAAAATACAGCAGTTTATCAGGTGTCTTACATGGTTCATTATTACATAGGAAATTTGATTGGTTTGTCTTCATTTTTGCTGCAGTTCAGCTTTAAGGAAAACTGAGACCAAGATATTGAAACTTACCGTATTTTCCGGCGTATAAGACGACCCCCTACTTTTCCTGTTAAAATATAGGGTTTGAGCTATACTCGCCGTATAAAACTACCCCTCTTCCAACGCACACCAAATAAAAATGAAAAAACATCAGATTTGATTTCAATATGGTATGCTATTTCAGTATGGTATTCCAATGATGGGACACTATTCCTCCCACTGACACCAATGATGGGGCACGATTCCTCCCACTGATACCAATGATGAGGCACTACTCCTCCCACTGACACCAATGATGGGGCACTATTTCATCCACTGACACCAATGATGGGGCACTATTCCTCCCACTGACTAATGATGGGGCACTATTCCTCCCACTGACACCAATGATGGTGCCCCATCATTAGTGTCACTGTGTGAGGAATAGTGTCCCATCATTAGTGTCAGTGGGAGGAATAGTGCCCCATCATTAGTCAGTGGGAGGAATAGTGCCCCATCATTGGTGTCAGTGGGAGGAAAAGTGCCCCATTAGTGTCAGTGGGAGGAATAGTGCTCCATCATTGGTATCAGTGGGAGGAATAGCACCCCATCATTAGTGTCAGAGGGAGGAATAGTGTCCCATCATTGGTGTCAGTGGGAGGAATAGTGCCCCATCATTGGTGTCAGTGGGAGGAATAGCACCCCATCATTGGTATTAGTGGAAGGAATAGTGCCCCAGCATTGGTATCAGTGGCAGGAATTGCGCCCCATCATTGGTGTCAGTGGGAGGAATAGTGCCCCAGCATTGGTGTCAGTGGGGAGGAGGAATAGTGCCCCATCGTTGGTGTCAGTGGGGAGGAGGAATAGTGCCCCATCGTTGGTGTCAGTGGGGAGGAGGAATAGTGCCCCATCGTTAGTGTCAGTGGGGGAGGAATAGTGCCCCATCGTTAGTGTCAGTGTGGAGGAGGAATAGTGCCCCATCGTTAGTGTCAGTGGGGGAGGAATAGTGCCCCATCGTTAGTGTCAGTGGGGGAGAGCAGCGGCTGCTCCTTCTTTCAGATTTTCACGGGGCCGCTCGGCTCCGCCTCCTGGCCGGTGATTGGTTGCCTGTGTGCCTTTCCAGTGCTGGCGCCCAATCACCGGTGAGGATGCGGAGCTGAGCGCCCCGCGCGACCATCGAGCGGCCGAACTGAAAGAAGGAGCAGCTGCGCTTCCTGGACCGGATTGTCGTGGGACCGGGACTGGAGCCAGGTAAGGTACAGCAGCCCCTCTGCCCACCCCTGTACTTAGTGTCCGTTGAAGGAGGTGGGGGGGGGCGGCGCAACGCCGCCCCGCCCCTTGAAAAAAGCCGCCTTGACACTGGCTCGCCGTATACCGGCGTATAAGACGACCCCCGACTTTTCAGAAGTTTTTCTTGTGTTGAAAAGTCGTCTTATACGCCGGAAAATACGGTAAGTATTTACACATTCTTAAGCAGCAAATATGTTCTACAACAAGCCTTCACTGACCTAACTGTTGTTATAATCACTGTGGAGTAATTCATCCACAAAGTTCATGATAAAAGTAGTGAAGTTGTACAAGTCAGGTTTCAGCACTCTGCTCTCATCCTCTTTTTTTGTGCACCTGCTCTGTTTTTACATTAGAGGTTAAAAGACTGTCAGGATGTCTACTCAGTGCTGGAATCGGGTGTTGATCTGCAGAGAAAAAAATAAAACTGGGAAGCTTCTGTTGCAAAATTTGAGGATGAATTACTCTACATTACCTGCAGCTACAGAGGTCAGTGGAGGCCTATTTTAGAATTTATTTACTGTTTGATAGGAATATGTAAATTTTTGAGTATCTGTAGCCTGACCACAATTCTACTTTAGGATCTTTTAAGTTATGTTAAAATATGAATCTGCATTTCTTCCATCTTTTTTTTCATTTGCATATAGTCTTTTGGAATTCATTGCATTATTGCTTTTATACTGTGTATCAAATGCTGGTTGCACTCAAGTTAATATCCACAGCAAGATGCCTGGTCAGATGGTTGCTCCATAGAGATCAGTGATTGTTGAAGTGAGCTTGGCATCTAAACAAAATGGAAAATGCAAAATGGGGCTTCAATGGGCATGCCAAAGCTCTGATTTGAATTGCTGATGGAATGTGACTGAGTTGGGTGTTCAGGTACAGATACATAGAAGCTTTCCTGTAGTTCTATTACTTTGTTATTTTTGGATTGGTTTACTTCAAAATAACCCTGTCGCTATATAAAACATTTTCCAGAGAAGGCATACTTTTTAAAAGAACAGTATAAATACTCACCTTTCCCACAGCCCTTGATGTGGAATTGCTGCTTTTCGTCTTTATGTAAATTCCCCAGGGAAACTGACACTTCCAGAAATGCTGATCCCTCACAGCCCACACAACAGCAGTAACCAGTAGGAGCTGTGGGGGAATTCTAGAGAAATCGACACTCCCAGAAGTGACAGTTTTCCAGCAGACTTCGGGGGAATGATTTCTTTGGATTGGCCCACTATCTGGCAGAGTGGGTGATTGGAAAGGGGATTATTTACACCCTTCTTTTAAAGGTATACCTTCGCTGGGAAACTTTTTTTAATGATTTGTTCACTTTAAACATTTGGCCTATTGAAACAGGGACTGATGTATAAGACCAAAGCAAATAAAAAGCAGAGGTAGCATTTGTAACAGAAAGGAAAATACAAGTTAGAGAAGAACTATAAGCAAAACGTTTTTTTTTTTCATATTGGATAAAGTATGGGAGGGTTATAACCCATGTCTGTTTATATTTTGCCATCGGTGAGTGGGAGAGTTTGCCTCGCTTCTTGTCTTACAGCCAAAACAAGAAGTGAGAGAAAATCCCTACAAATTAAGGGAACTCTTTCGGAATCCCAGACCACCCAAACTAGTGTCCCCTTCTCTAGGGACATCTCAAAATTTAGTGTTTTCTTTTACTTTCATTTTCGATGATAAAGGTAAAGAGAACAAATAGAGAGGATGAATATCCCCAATGGGGGCACAGACAGAAAAAAAAAAAACCCCTAATAGGTGTTCTAATCCATCTCTTTCCAAAAACTAAAAAAAAAAAAGTTTTGCCTATAGTTATACTTTAACATTGGCTTTTTATGTGGGACAGCCAAAATACTTTTGATGAGTTAACTGGTTGCAAATATAGATAACATAAGGGGATAGCTGAAGGATAGTGATAATAGGGCTGTAACCTATAGCAGCCAATCACAAATTATGTTTTATTATTCGGACTAT